AATAAAAGTATGAATATAATCCGATAAAATTTGTAATAAATTCGTGATTTCAATATTTTCGGAAGAAGGAAATTCAAGGCACCGCGGACATTAAGTAACTGAAAAAAATTAAGAAGACACGCATTACTTCGTAATTCAAAATTTTCAACGCTAATTTTCTACAAATAGCGTTCAAAAGAAGAAATGTGTTCAATTACGAATAAAATCTATCCGTTATCACTGAACTTACTTATCTATAAACAGTACAGGTAATAAAAAATAATTAGGTAAATCCGCACTAAAACCCATGAATCGTTGGTACCACCTGTACCAACGTACTGCAAAGCGATTTCAGTTTCTCGATAATCGTTTACAACAGTTAACCAAACGGTTCATCGAAGGAGCTGAAAACCATTTCGGCATTGGTGGCAACATAACGTAGTCGTTCATAAATTTCGCTCGCGACACATTCTCATCGATTTTCAATAGTCGCTCACGGTCCATACCGAACTAGGTGACTTTTTTTCCAACGGATAACGCAACATGTATTAACACATGCGCGGCCCTACCCAACGCGGGCCGCCCAGCTCATAGGATATGGCTGTCCCACGAGTTTGTGGAAGCTTTAATAGACTTCAGGCTGAAAGCAAAAACCAATACCTAGTTAAGATTTCTTAACATCAAGCTTTTCAGATCGCGACCATATTTAGAGTCGTGACAAAGCACATTTACATCTGCTTTCTAGATTGGCTAACACTGGCAACAAAAAAAGAGATAAGATTGAAAGAAAAATTTAATATTAAATAATTGATATGGAAATTTTATACTTTTACGGTGGCAGGGCCACGCAGCGGCCTCGGCTGTTGCACGAATGGGCAGGCCCGTCCGGGTAAGTACCACGACCTCACAGAAGACCAGCGTAAAGTGGAAGTATGACAAATACTTTCGAGTTTCGTCTGGTAAGTGAGGTGGCCGGAGCCCAATTTTCAAAAGGTTGTCTACGCATCTGTAACCCTCGGGTGTGGCAGATGTCCATGGGCGGCGGCATTTATTTAACATCAGGTGAACCGTCTGCTCGTTTGGAAACTTTTCGCATAAAAAAAAATTTAATTAAATAATGACGAGGAAGAAAGAGAAAGTGATTCCTTTTTATTAAAGAAAATACAAATAATATTACATGTATTTAAACCATATAAAGTTTGAGCAAAAATTTTATTTTTTTAAAACATTGAAATATTTACTTAGTTCTTATTACTTCTACAGTATTTTCCAAAAGCGGTTTAGGTCTCCAATAAATATTATTTTCTCAGATCAAAGAAAATTCTGTCGTCTTTGAATAAACCAGATGAATTTGCTTATGATTTTTCCCTGAAAAATATTTTAGTTGTGGTTATTTCAAGCATATTTACGACGTAGCTGCCAATTGTCGGAGGAAGTGGCTCTATTGAATGGAATCGACTAATGACATTTTATGATTATTTTTTATTAAAAATAATACTAGTCGTCACTCAAGATGAAATTTAAATGCGAAAAAGGAAGAAAGAGAGAGAAGACTCAGGCTCGAATTCTAGGAGCGGCAATAAGTTTTCATCAATTTATGAAGTTTGGCTTACACATTGAAATAAACTATATATAAAAAAAAGAAACCATTTAACAATAGGTAAAAAAGTCGTCATAAGAGGATTACAGACATCTAATTTATTTTTTATTTGGAAAGCTTACAGCTATTAAATACTAATTTAAAAAGAATATTATAACATACTAGCGGACCGGGCAGACGTTGTCCTGTACACAAAACTTAAATCCGACAACTTAAAAAATAAATAAATTATGAATCTAAACCATTCTCGAATCGATCTAAACACCCAAAAAAATTCATTAAAATCGGTCCAGCCGTTTAGGAGTTAAGTGACATACACACGTACAAAAAATTATATATATAAAGATATGAAAAGACAATAAGTTTCGACCTTATTACTTGTTACTTAAAATATTTCGAAATAATTTCTTTACAATGAACCGCCGGACGGTTTGGTAAGAAATCATCATCATTCATAATTTAATGTCTATGTAGTGTTTTGTTGTAATATACAAGTTATAAAATTCAAATAGTTGTTATAGGTTGCCATGGTAATACCGTGAAGTTATTCCAAGCTGGTCGCTTTGCGACCTTCATGATGTCGCTTTTTGGCTGCCGACGTGCACGCGTATCGTAAAAATTTTACTCTTATATTTTTTCATGATCGATAAAAATATTTATTACGTTAATAAAGAAATGTTTGTATAGAAAATGGTTCATTAGGAATCGTTTACCTATTGTACTTTTTAATCTGTTTATAGTGTCAGCTCCCGAATTTTAGAAATCTGTGATTCGTTATAAGAATAAAATCTAAACGCACTATATTTTTATATTTTCAATACATTCGTGATGTAGAATTTTAAACTATATATTCTTGCGCTAAAGTTTAACACAAATTCACAATTCATTTCGTGTCATTAGATTTCATGGTCGTTGAAGTTAATTGCTCCCTCTGAGGCCTATAATGACAACGCTTAATGGCAGCTGGTTTGAAACTAAGCCAAATGTATATTGCAAAATCGTTCATTATTGACAACGGAGAAAGAAGTGTTGAATTAAAAAAAATGTAGATATCTTTTTAAGACGAAGTCCAACTAAAAACAACTAAAAAAAAACGTCCTTGCCAAGTCGATAGCATGAGAATTGGAATAAGGCGGCCGCACAATACTCGATAGAACTCTTTTTCGTAATCTTTTTTTTTTTTTTATGTGAAAAGTTGCCAAACGAGCAGATGGTTCACCTGATGGTAGGTGAATACCGCAGCCCATAGACATTTGCTACACCTGAGGGTTACAGATGCGTTGACAACCTTTTAAAAATTGGGCTCCGGCTACCTCACTCACCAGACGAAACGCGAAAGTATTTGTCATACTTCCACTTTACGCTGGTCTTTTGTGAGGTCGTGGTATTAACCCGGACGGGCCTGCCCATTCGTATGAAAATAAATTAAGAACTTAGCTCTAAAATATATGAAAAAAAAATTAGATATATTGCGCGCAGAGTTTCGAACAATTAACCTTATGCTAATGCCTCAAATTTTGTAAAAAATTTGATGAAGATTGATGTCAGCCAGTATTTGGGTAGATGGTCCAAATATACACCAAATTTAAGAAATTTACGAGCGCATCGATATTTTTCTCACCGATAAATTTTACTCCCTATATGAGCATCGTCTGACCGGTTCATTTTCCGATTTAGCTTTGCTTTGAGCCCTTAAACTTCTCCATCATCATTATTTTCCGTAAGAATTAGCATCATGGGCAAACTGTTATAAAATATTATTTTTCCAAAGTTATTAGATATAACGATTTTTCTCTTTTTTCGAGTAGTATCCAATATAGTAAGGAGCAGTGATCTTTTTGGTGTAAAGATTTTCCAAAAAAACACTTGTCCTCATACCAATAAGCGCGAGCAAAACGAACTTTCTGTATATCCGTATACTCGATATAAACAATACAATATTTCAAGGTAGTTAAAAATATAAATCTATAAACATAAATCTTAGTTTTGGTCAACATTATTGGAAACATAATTAATAATAATTTCTTGTATTTACGCGATTACACATTATAAATGAAACTAATTTTACGGATTAATCGCGTTTTTTTTTTTTTTTTCGTTGACGTTTCGAACCCTTTACAGCGTTCATAATCAAAAAATAAACGTGATAAATCCGTAAAATTAGTTTCATTTATAACATAATTAATATAACAATAAAAGTATTAACAAACATTTTTAAACGAAAATATTAATACGAAAAATTTATGAGAAAAGTGCTTTTTACAAACATTTTCGTGTTAATTGATATTTACAGTTTATTCTGCTTGTTTATTCCTTGGGCAAATAAAAATACTTATGCATAGTCACGGTCCTTTGTAGACGTCATAGATATAAAAACCCAACATTTCAGTGTTTGCCTCGGCTTGACCTTTCGGAGATTACTTACCCTTCCTAAACACGCACACATATGCTAGCTACTTACTATGATCTGTCTCTGAATGGATTCAAGGCCCCCGCGAAGGGTGCGCGGGGAGAGGTGGCGGCAGGCGCGGGTTACGTCACCGCGCTCTCGTCAGTACGCTTATGTTTTCCTAGCGTGCGCACGTATGCTATTTGCTTTTGCTTAATTGCTTAATATGAATATAAGTTATTATTGTTTAAAGTGTTTCAACGTTGCTGTAACGTTACTCATTGGATATAGTGTAAGCAATTTCATTTTGTCTCAGTTTGTATGTATTTTTCTGTTTAAGGTGCGGATTCGCCTGTAAAAGAAGATTCTTAGCTTTGGCTCCATGCTTTATAGATTTACCAGTGTTACGTGTCATGTTTTTCGGACACATCATCCACAAACGTTGTGTTAAGTATTTTTCGTATTTGTCGGACATGCCATCCACAATATACGTACTGAATACTACATTTCAGCCCACAAAACTGTGGCTGCAGTTTTTCGACATGTCGGCCAATCAGCCACTGTCTTACTGATGAATACCCGAAAGGTTAACAGCACGCGTCTCAAATTTGGAGCGGGGCGCCTCGAATATTTGACGGCGCCCCTCAAAAATTAAGCAGTGCGGCTCAAAAATCGGGCGGCGCGGTTCAAGAAGCGGGCGGCGTGGCTAAAAAATCGGCCGGCGCGGCTCAAAAAGCGGGCGGCACGGCTCAAAAATCGGCCGGCGCGGCTCAAAAATCGGCCGGCGCGGCTCAAAAATTGGGCGGCGCGGCTCGAAAATTGACCGGCGCAGCTCATAAAATCGGCCGGCGCGGCTTAAAGATCGGGCGGCGCGGCTCAAAAAACGGGCGGCGCGGCGCGTATCTTGAGCAGCGTGCCTCAATTTGTTGAGCCTTTGTTCAATTTTTGGACTTCAAATCAAAAGTCTTACGAGTTGTTTGAGCTTTTCTTTTCTGCTTGATTATTTGACTACGGCCTCTGTTTTGGCATCAGATGGCTCAACAGCCAGGTATTGTCACCGTAGGCGAGCTTTTGGATGAGCACGCAGAGACGGAGCAAGATGAAAAAGTTGTTGGAGCGTGTAAAAGTTTTGGTACAAGAGCATCTTCCAACCACCCGTTGGACTCGCTGGGAGGTTTCCACCGCTACGAGAGAAGAAGTTTCTGGAGAAAAGCTCGAACCAAATGTGCTAAACAAGCTCATATTTGCCTTGCCTACTTGGCTTAGTCTGGGCTTTCATACCAGAGGCGGATCGTCTAACGGAGAAGGGATATAGAGTGCAAACTGTTAGATTGGGCGTTCACTCAGGCCCTCATTCTAGGTCCGGCAGCCGTGGCAAACCGCATCCGAGCCTCAGCAGTACGCACTGAGCTCGTTAAGAAGTCTGTTGAAGCAATTCAACACTTCTACATACACGAGTTGAAGCGGACAGGATACTGGCGGGCAATCTTTCTCAGTCTGAAGGAACTTGTCGTAAGCGGAGGAGTGTCTTAATGAGCAGTAGAGCCAGAAAGAAGCGTAGAAAGAGGTCTCCTTTAATGTCCAGGCATGATGCGTTAGAGAGGAAGATGGATAATATGTACACCATCCTCATGGAAAAGATCGAAGCGGTTCAGCCTTCAGAAAATCGTACGCACCCTGAGTTAGATTCCGATGATGATTGCTTAGGCTCTGGGGACATTAATTCGGAAGGCTCTGACGTCTGTTCTTCGTGGAGGACCCCAATAAGTCACTAGGAAGAAATAGCTTCTCTTAGACCGGAGGAGAAACCACTTTCTCCATCAGAATTTGATTTCCTACCACAGGTAAAACAAGCGGATCCACTGATCCCAGATACCACCACACAGATAAAGAGGAAAGGCATCGAGTGTCAGCGGTTGGGGCATGCCTCCATATATACCCCTCGGTGGAACCGAATCCGTTACAAAGAAGTGGACAAGCTCCTTCTAGCGGCACCAGTTTTTTAGCACACTAAAACTGAATATAGAGTTGAGCTCAATTGCGCTGCCATCAGCTTGGCTTTTAAAGCAAGACGGATTGCTAGGTACTATTGTCCGTGGACTCCTCATGCAGAGGCCATTCTCTGGCTGAGAATTTCAAAGAGATTTCCAAAAGATGTTCGGAGGCCGCAGAACAAATGTGATGTGTTCTTGGAAAGGACTCCCAGTTAAGGAAATTATCCGATAACATAATTCAACACGTGTGTGCTCATCGAGCAGAAACTTTTGAGTTTAGACGAAGAGCCTTCAAGCCCCGTAATAGAGGGTTAGTTGCGGCATTGTAACAGATTTCCCCCTTGGTGTCTCACCCTTTCTATGAGAAAAAGTTCCCAGCATTTGTGAAGATTTGTAATGGGGGAGTAAGTCATATTTTTCATACCAGAAATGTCCAGATAAAGGTTCATTTCCAAGGGGCGGTTTTCGAAAACCAACGCAAGCTCCAACACAGGCTAAGGGTAAACGAAATCCTTGGAATGCACGGTCTATGGCGTCATGCAAGCCCTCGTCCAGTACGTCTGCCTTCCGTTCCAGCCAATCCAAACAAATAGGGAAACAGTGTAGAAATAAAGGACGGTCACAGGCCAATCGCAGATATTGACGGTTTTCGGGGCAGCTAGGGGTTATACATTACAATGGGAGAACTTACAAGCTCCAAGAGCAGTCCTAAAGATAATTTCAGGTTACGCGATTCCTTTTGTAACCAAGCAGCCCTCCATTCCTCTATGCGGGAAATCTCGGTTCGCAACAAAAAAGCCAGAAGCGATGACCAACGAATTATAAGAACTTCTAAGATCAGGTGTTGTAGAGAGATCTCATAAGCCTCTACCGGTTTACTGAAGCGGATGTTTCTCATACCAAAGTCAAACGGAAAGCTCTGATAGATCTTCGATATCCGTCGTCTGAACGCATTTCTCAATCCGCCAAAGTTCCGCTTGATAAATCAAATGCAGGTTCCCAATATTCTACAAGAGGGCGACTACTTAGGGAAATTACACATCAGTAAGGCCTACTTTCATATACCGATAAGAAAGAGCCATCGAAGGTATCTGTCTCTCCTTTACGAGGGGGATCCATTAGAGATGACATCTCTACCGTTTAGCCTGTCCAGCGCGCCATTGGCTTTTTCTCTCGTTACCATTTGGTAGCCATTTGGCTCGCAAGAGTTTTGAGAAGACAGGGATTAAGAGTTCAATTATATTTGGACGACTTTCTCTTTGCCCATCAGGATCCTGCTGTTCTAGAGGATCAGTTAAGGCTGGCTGTAAAGTTTCTTCAGCATATAGGCTGGTGCGTAAACTTAAAAAAATCAGTTATAAAGCCAAAGAGGCAGATAGAATTCTTCGGTATCGTGTGGGACGCAGTGACAAACCCGATGAATTTGCCAGACGCAAAAAGCGCGATTAGTGAGGAACCTAGAAAATATTCACAAAACCGGTCGATGGTCTTGGAAGTCAGGCACAGCCCTATTAGGAAGACTATGTTTCGCAGCCTTGGCAACTCCCTTGAGTAGTCTTAACACCAGGCAGATTCAGAGGGCCAGTCGAAAACTCTCCGACGAGCACCCCAAGAAGAAGTTTGGAGTTCCCTCATCAGCACATGCAGATTGCCAGTGGTGGATCAAGCATATCAATACTCCGGACAAAATCTTAATTCCGGAACTGACGTGCTCATAAGCACAAATGCGTCAAACCCATACTGGAGTGTTCAACTTGGATATCACTCTTTATCGGGTCAGTGGTCAGAGAACCAGTTGAGTTGGCACATAAACATGAAAGAGCTCTCTTCGGTGCTTGTAGCTCTCTGTCGCAGTTTCAAGAAGCGATTCGAGGTTGTTCAGTGATGGTGCAATCCGACAACAGGACGGTAATCTCTTACCTGAGAAATCAGCGAGGAACACGGTCAATCGTTCTTCTAGAAGCAACAACTTGAAGTTAGCTGACAGTGTAGACGTGACGCTTCATGCTTTCTATCTGCCTGATCGCTACTATATAATAGCCGATTGCCTATCGTGCGGAAACGGGCTTCCAGATTGGCACCTCAAGGGGAACGTTGTGAAAAAGATTTTCAAGAAATGGGGTACCCCTCAAGTTGAGTTTTTCGCCACGAGTCAGTCAACGGTTGTTCCAGCTTATGCGTCAATAGAGGCAATCATTTTCAGCCGAGATTGGCAATACAATCTTGCTCGGGTTTTTCCACTGCCGCCCTTGTTCCCCAGGGTGCTTCGTCATCTCAACAAATCGTCGGGGACTTTTCTTGTAGTAGTTCCTCGATGGGAAGCAGTGATCTGGAGAAACGACTTGAAGCGACGGGCTCTGGGGGCTCCTTCTCAAATTCGCAATTTGAAAGTGTCTGATAGATCTGTCTGTCAACCGCCCAGCTTCACAAGTGGAAGATCTGCTAGACGTCTGGCGGAGTGAACTAGTCGTTGGCCTAGATCCAGATGACGTTAAGCATCTGCAATCAGCGTGGAGAGATTCCACTTGGCGCACTTACAGTTCCGCATGGAAGCAGTGGGTATCTTGGTACAAGGAAAGGGAAAAAGAACCCAACAATCCTAAATCTCAAAACGTCGCCGCTTACTTGGGTTATTAACTCTAGCCAAATATTTGGTATACCTTACAATTCTAGTTCACATCAGTAATTCTAAATCTTTGTTCCTACTCAAGAGAAACGACTTGCCAGTCACCCTTTGATAACAACCCTTCTAAAGGCGATTAGTGTAAAGAAATGCTTCTTTGCGAGGTCAAAATCATAGATATGGAACGTTCAAGATCTCCTTCAGTGGTTACGATCGTATGTCCCGGCTGACGATAATATTTTTCAAGTATCTAGACACCTTTTATTTTTACTTCTGATAGCTTCAGGACGCTGTATTCACGATTAAACTATTCTAGATATTGACGAACACCATTGTGAAAGAGCCGATTCCTCCATAACCTTTTGGCCCAGGTTTGAGTCCAAAACGGACAATACCAAGTATCGCCCATCTGGATGGCACCTAATTTATTCTGAAGATCCAGTGATTAGCTGGACTAGCTGGGTTAATCGCTTAATCGAGTTAGCAGCCAATAGGCGATGAGCGCGAAAGGATCTATTCAATCTGTTTATCACGACACGAGGTGAAGTAAAAGCAGCGTCAAGGTTCGTGATTGCTGGATAGCTCAAGACGACTTTTAAAGAGCTAAGCAGGCATAGACTGCGGTCCCGGGTCCATAAGATCAGCAGTAGCTTCGAATGATTTCCAATTTAATGTCCCGTTCGACATGATTCTGCAACGGAAAACTAGAGAGGCTCACGACACGTCTTTAAGCATTACTGCAAATCAGTAGAACGTAAGCAGGACCCCATCGCTAATGCTTTAAATAGTTCCTTTAATTAAGGCTGTTGAGTGAACACTAGCTAAAGCATTTATAAACTATTAGCGATGTATATTTTTATGGTACACGTCCTGGAATAGTTTACATTAAATCATTATTAATAACGCTATCGAGTCGTTTTCAAGTCTGATTAAAGTTTAATTAGCTAGCCTAATAAATGTGATTTTAGTTTTAACGAGTACCTACTCTAATAATTAAAATCTTTAGGTATGAAAATACTTAGATTATAAAGTTTTATTCTTTAATATGAACTTAATATTTTCTTTATGTCCATTACGACCTTACAAGGACTTATTTCAGTCACCAGTCACAGTACGCTTTGGAGCGCCGGCAGATTATAAACACTTCTCCGAAAGGTCAAGCCGAGGCAAACACTGAAATACGACCGTTTTCCACCCCAAAGGGAAGAAAACGATTATTTCAGGTCTTGCTGAGGCTTGACCTGAGCAAACCCTTGCCGGCTATTCGGAGACAGGTACTGACGAGAGCGGTGACGTAACCCGCGCCTGCCGCCGCCTCTCCCCGCGCACCTTTCGCGGGGGCCTTGAATCCATTCAGAGACAGATCATAGTAAGTAGCTAGCATATGTGTGCGTGTTTAGGAAGGGTAAGTAATCTCCGAAAGGTCAAGCCTCGGCAAGACCTGAAATAATCGTTTTCTTCCCTTTTGGGGTGGAAAACGGTCGTATTTTCAAAGAGAGCAACAGTTCAAAGTGAGAATTTTAAATAGCGTTTAAAAGCTAAGGCACGATGCTATATAAAGAAATGCTGAAATTTTGAATATATTTGTTCAATTTATCAAAATTAGTTTTTATTATAACATTTACGAGTAAATAAGCTTCGAGAATTGGAAGAAAACAAGTTAAATGTTGTTAGGTAAAAAATTTATTGGTATCCTTTACACTTTTTCCAGGTACGAATTTCCTTATCGCACGTTATAATTTGGACATTTGGCGAATGAGAGCTAGACTGAAAAATGTGTAAATTTTAGATTCACACTATATTAACACACTATATCGCTATAGTGTGGATATTTGTGCGTTTACAAGATACATAATACTTATATACTCCTGTAAAACTAATTTAAAGTCGCGCACCGAATGTTATGAAAACAAAGATACTTTCAACTCTGCCTTTTTAAAAGTAATCTAATTTTAGCAAGCGATTAATGGAAATTTATAGGGGAACTGTACTGAAGAAAGTACATAAGCGCCATACTAATTAAACATTTCTTTATGTAATCATGTCTTTCAGATGGATTTTTGCAAATCAGTCCGAGTGGGGCCGTCCGTAAGACATAGGTAGTAGTCGTTTTATATCATTTTTATTTCATATATTTTAGAAACAAATTATTACCTTGTGTCGCAGCACGATCTGTCTCCAACTGCTAGAACCTTCCGATCGTGCCGGAGCGGTGATGGGGTTTAGATGTGCTTCTAGATGGATTGGAGACAAAGTCTTTCGTCCATTTTGCAAGTGCGAATTCTTAAGATATTTGGGCTTACGATGAAATCGAATCATCGTAGAGTGAAATCATCCGCGACGAAATTTCATTGAGACGATTATGATGAAATCGTTTACGAAGTTTTCTTGTTGTAAGTCCAACGAAATAATAAGATGATAATATGTATTAATTTATTTATATTTAAACAAACTTGGTTAAGTGGTAAAATGGTAAATGGTATGAACGCACGCGCCGTGTTCGACTGGATTTTTAAGTCGAAGTGGTCGGACTGATTTTTTTTTGTATGAGAAGGTGGCAAACGAGCTACCGATTCATCTTATAATAAGAGATAACCACCGCTCATTGACAATTGCTGCACCCGTAGGGTTGTAAATGCTTTGCCACCTTTTAATAAAGTGGTCCCTGGCTACCACACTCACCAGACGAAACACAGAAGTATAACACTCCACTTTACGCCAGTCTTTTATGAGGACGTAGTACTTACCCGGACGGACGGATTTTTGACTATCAATAAGCGAGTGTAATGCTCCTATGTTGAATAAAGACATTTGATTTTGATTTTGGACCTGCCCATTCCTGTAACAGTGTAGAATGTTGCGTGGCCCTACCACAGTGAAAAAGAAGAGAAAGAGGGTACTTCTATACTTTCTACATTTCCCCTACTTATTATGGAGTGCCACGAAACAGGAGAAATAAAGTCTCGTAAAAATCGCAACTAACATGACCAGGAGTTTATGACTAAGAAGAAATCGTGATTAGCTAAATAGCAGGCTCTTGTGCGGTTTATAGTGCGTTTGCGTTTGTTTAAAATATCTGAAGGATTGGTTGAATTTGCGCATCGATGCAAAGTAATTAACTATAAGAAGTCACAGAGCACTTCTTATAGTTACGTATACGCATAGTTAAGTATACGTATAGCACAATTACAATTGAAGCCCGATCATGAACGATTAATATTGATCGATTTGCGCTACTGAAAAAATACTGTGGGTGTTTTTATGTCTATAATTTGTATTTGTTTACAAATTATTACAAATGAAAAATATGTTTATCAGTTTGATACGTGGTAACTGCGTAAGGAATTTTGAATCCAAGTTTGCGGTTTTAATGTTATTGAAATATTAACTTATTTATTTATACTTTATGAGTAGAATAGTAAAAAGACAGACTTAAATACGAAACTACACAATGTTCTATGTACTATAATACTACAATACAACTACATAATATATTACACATATAACGAATATTCACGAGGAACTGATTATGCTGACAGTTTATAAGCATATACTCACGTACTTTACTTTTAAAAGAAAATCTACTCTTATTTACCTTGATTTCAAGATGTAGTGCATTCCACAAAAGGGTGGACTAAAAAAATAAAGAAGAATGTAAGAAGTCTAATCGATAAGAAGGATATGGTAAAGGCGATAGTGGATCGAGCTTAGGTTTATATCGTTTTTAGAAGAGAGATATGCGGTAGAAGGAGAACCAAGAAAAGAATAACAGTGGTTAAAGCTCTTCATCATCAATTTCAAGTCCAAAGCTCGACATCAAACGCACAAGAAGTGTGGTAAAAAAAGGTCGGAATATTTTAGCTGCTCGAATAAATAAATTTTCCTTTACAAAAACTCTCTTAGCTCTTTGTTTATATATCCGAAAATGTAAGGTTGGCCTCGATCCGTCCTGGGGCAAAATTGTTTTAGTCTCTTAACTAAATTTAGTTTTGGTACGTGTTTGCCCAAAAGGTATTATGTAATTATTTCTTGTATTTACGTATACTATATATGTTTTATTAAAATTTTTAATAAAAAAAATGTTTTTTTTTGTATTAATCTATTTCTTATCACCTAAAATTCACAATGACAATATTAGGCTAGATTGACTCACCTCCCTAAATCTAAAGACTGAGACAACATCTTGTTATACCAATACTGGCATACCAATACGTACACTAAAGGTTCATAACATAGCAGCAGCTTTTGTTGTTGTACGACTGGGCAGGCTTAATCAGAGAAGTACTGACTCACTGAAGACCAGCGGGAAGTAAAATTATTATACTTTTGTGTTTTGTCTGGTTAGTCAGGAAGCTGGTGCCTACTTTTTACTGGTTGGCAACGCATCAGGTAACCTTTAGGTGTTGTAGATGTCAATAGGCGGTGCTAATATCAAGTGAGCCGCCTACTCGTTTGTCAAGAAAAAAGAGAATAATTTGAGAAAAAAATGCACTTGTATGGTGTAACAATGATAGATAGCAGCCTAGTATCTCCTATTGTGGCTTACGTAATTGGGCAGGATTTTCAGAAGCGTCCGGTCATAAGCGTCCATTCAAACAAGATTTAAAAGTACTATTTTCAAAAGATGAAATTTCAAATTAAATAAAAAGAAATTATCATCTGAAATTGTCATTACAAAATACGTTTACATTTTAGGGAATCGGTATACCAAATATCAGAAATATAGTTTGTGACTGCAACCTTTTTTTTTCATTTAAATGTTTTTGTTATCTTTTAAGTAAATAGAAATATTGGTGTTGGAGTAGCTTAATTAATCTCATAAATATAATTATGGCA